ACTAATGAAATTGTACCATATCATACTACGCGAAAATCGCGATAAACGTGACAATGGTAGGTTGAAATAACTAAACGATTTAAATGGTTTTCGTTTTAATATTTATTATATTACAGGGTAAACTTGCATAATTCGTACCCCTTAAGAAAAAACCATCATATTATCGAAATTAATAAACACAAATTATTTTTTATTTTAAGTGACTTTTATTTGGGAAATATTTTATTACTACCATAATCAAATTTAGCATAAATCTTATAAACTTCTGAGAAATCAACAATTTAAAAAAACCACTAAAAAAGTACGATTTAGGACCATTACTGATATTTTCTTAAATCGTACTTTGAGATCCTATCATTGGTTTGCAGTCTTAAGAATAAAAATCTTAACTAATAATGTATTAATACGTGTTCATGTTAACTCTTAACAAATTCGGCGGATGGTCTTCGCCAATTTTTGGCAGTCATCGCAGATGTAATCTGTTGTTTTTTTAATGGTTCCTGCGCAAAGTTCATGAACCCATATCTCACATTGTATGCATTTAATCATACTTTCTTTACGTCTTCTTGGCATAATTTACAATACCAACTGTTATTTTCATCATCTTGTTTTTTTTATTCTTCTTTTGTGATATTTTAGTAGTTTTACTTTTCTTTGCACCAAGATTATTTGATACGTTTTTCTTCTTGAATTTCCAAGAATACCACGTATTGGGGATATTATTTCAAATGTCGTTCGAACTATCTCTGTCTTAGAAATGTTCACTTTCATTCCTAAAGAACATTCGTTCGCTTTCTGTTCTAGACATTGATCTTGCTGTTTTTCCGAAGTATGAGTTGTTGGTACCTCAGGAAGTTGTGCATACTCAACTTCTTCAGTCTGTTCTTGCTCAGTAGTCTGGATTGTGCCACACACGTTAAAGTACCTGTTTGTTCTTGCTGCCTTTCAGTTGCCAGATTCTGGGAGACTTCCGCCGATTCACTTAGATTACCATCTTCGTCAAGAACAACATATTCCTCATCCCTGACCTTAAAGCGATTGCGAGGCCAAAATACGCAAGATTCGAAGCCATGCATGTGTGCGTCCATACAAACGGCTCGAGGATATGCTTTGTTAATACATCACAGATAATTAAAAAAACTTACACACGATCCGATTTAAAGAAAGTTCTTAAGAAATGTGCAAAAATATTATAGAAAAAGTTGAAAAACACTTTCCTTTTCAATATTTTTGTTGGGAGCAGCGTAACAGCGTGTTGCCTGTCAAATGGTAATATGGCCGATTGTTATTTACTTTTTTGGCTACTACAGACACTAACAGCTATTACAGGAGTCGAGATATAAGAGAGGTACGAATTAGGCAAGTTTACCCTAGTATATGTTTTTACTTTGATGCTTATGCGTTCGTACCAATTATCATTTGTGTGATAAGCCCTTACTATTACCTGCTTCGCAGTTATAGATATTTTAATTAATTTAATAAACTAAGATATTTGTTTGTTTGTTTGCTATATACGCGTAGGCCCTTCGATTAATTGCTACGAAACTCCAAAGTTAAGTTTTTATATTTCAGACTTAAAGATTGAATAATAGAGTTTATCTAATTCTAAAATATTTTTATACATCGATACATTTCTGTCTACATTCAATTTTTTGACATTACATGTACGCCCCTATCGGCAAAAAATTTAACAAAATCATAAACTAAATACCATTTTTAAAAATATATATATAATTTAATATATATATTACTTATATAGCACAAATTAAANCGTAAATTTGGGGTATTACAATATATTAATTAATAATCAACCACTATCCTAACATCTAAAGGATTAAGTTAACTATAAAACAACAATTTTTGATAACATACCACAGATGTCAGATGAGAGAGCGCCCAGGAAACAAAAATTAATGCAAACAGAATAAGCAACGACAGAACTGTTAAAACAAGTTTAAATAACGGGGGTAATTTCACAAATAATGTTGCATACCAAACGAATGAAATCCCATAAATAACGGATGTGTAACCAAAAGGCAATAATATTTCCCATTTTTCGTTAATCATTCTGAAATAACTCCAAAGTTCAACTATATTTTGTAATATTTTCTCCAAAATGTTCTGTAGAAAAGGTGTTTCAACATTTATATTTGCTACTTCTTCTGAGAGTTTCAGTAACCTTCTCTCAACTATAAATACAGCTGTCGAACATAAAAAGATGAGAGAGAACCTGACCCGCACAATAAGTAACCCATAAAGTGTGTATAAAAGAGACGAGAAATGCCTCAGTGTCCGTTCCGTGTTGTTTCTTTATTTCCGCATAAAATACAATTCCTGGCGTTGAGGTACTCATAACACATGAGACAAATAACAGACATAACATGTGCAATGAAGATGCTTCTATGCGGTCAGTTATTTTCCATTCTTCTCGATAACTGCCAACGACGCAATGAACCTCAATTTTTCTTCGTTTCAGTACACTGAACTGAACAGCAATGTATACTGCGAATAAAAGAGAGACTACTGCTGCTACCATTGTATACTCTTTATATAGTTTTATACCTCTTAAAAAGTAAAGATTGAGATTGTATATTCTGATTAGGAAAGCTAACGCTATTATCCATAGAAATACTTCTACAAATAAAGTATACAACTTAAATAATGTCGATAAAAAATGATTGTTTGCTTTTTTTTAATCTTCGATACATGAGCAAGGATTCCAAAAATATAAGCCAAATACCTTGGCTGAATTAAGTATTGGAGCCAGCATGTAACCTATACAATGTTGTTTTCCTCGAAATGATGACATTGTTAAGTAAAACGAATTGTTTTCAGATAATGAATATTCAACGCTATTATCAGAGGATACTTTTCTCGATTGTAGGAAATTGTAACATAATGTTATGGTATGTTGCTACGGGTCACAAATTGTTTCGTCTTATAATCATAATTTTATCTATTTAATGGAATTTATTGTAAATAAGTTATAAATATGGATATAATATTTTTCGTGCGTGACTAGTTATTACTATGTTCATATACAATATTTCATATGAATAATGTAAATCTGATAGTTTTTGTTATTTCAAAGAATTTTAATTGAAACCTTGAAAGTCCCAACCATTAGCTTATACAAATACCGTGACAGGAAAATATTATATCGATTGATACTATATACTTTAATAAAATATTTAAAATGATCGAAGATCAATTAATATATTATTGATTATTTTAGGCTTATGTAGCGCCCTGCAGTTCATTGGGATATAATAAAGGATCATATTTGGATCGATGTCGTTTAAAAGACTAAACACTAAAGTGTGTTCTCTGTACCCAATGAAGTGCGTTACATCATTAATGTCAACACTGGGGAGGGGGCGCCAGTTATGTTCACTACGCCACTGCGAAAGTGAATAAACAAATTAAACTAATTTAAGGTATTTATAGGATGTTTAATAACATTAATTATTTTTAATTAGCGTTGTGTCTCCTACCGTACGATTAGACTACCTCGTACCTTCGTCCAGGGAAGTAGAAGCTTATGTAAATTCGAAAGCAGCTCGGAAAATTAATTTTTAGGAAATTTACAAACGTATTACGCTGTTGATGGTAGAAGATGCCGTGGAGGAAGAAACCTACCTTAAGATAAGCTATTACGAAGGAAAATATATGTAAATTCTAAAGGCACTTCGCATCACTTGCTAAAATATTAAATAAATAAATAATTTCTGCATTAAAATCGTCTGATTATTTACAATATTATTCGTTAATGCTTAAATAATGATTATTTTAATAAAATATGTCATAATTTTAACCCCAAACACAAGAAAAATGAAGAAGTTTAAACCCATCTTCTACTCGCCACGTAGACGTAGCAAACGCCATTATCGACCGTCTAGAATTGCCATATGGTGGCGCTCGACCGTCCGCCGTTCACGTTTTTGGCTGAATACAACGGCTGCAACTTCTGTAATATCTGCAGATAATTAACAAGTTGAATTCAGTAAAAGTAATATAATTTAACATGGCCGACGGTTATTTACGTTTAATATTTTATTAAGTTAAATTCAATTTTCTCATTGTCTCAAGCAAAATTAAATTATTTTAACGTTAAGTAAAGGAAGAATAACGAGAAGTTCCTTTACAATCACTTAAGTTACCAGTTTAAATTTAAGGCAAAACCCCATTTGCTGCATTATAATTACACGCAATTTAATTTTTAAATTAAATATTTATTTAAAAAATTACGGAAATATTTACACGAATGAAACTAATTTATATAAAGACGTCGAAGTATCTAAAGTGGAATTATCCCAGAACCGGTTATTACGAGGTGTCCTTGTTATTACCGAAAATTATTAGTTTTTCCCTATATTAGTAGGAAACATTTTATTGCAAAAATATGAATTTTTGCCTATAGAAAATTTTCATTTAACTGCAAATATACCAAAAAAATTTCTCTTGTAAATCCATATATTTAACAAATACTTAACAACGATATAATATTAATAATTAATTATTCAAAAATCAAACAGTATAAAAGATTTAAAAAAAAAAGTAAATAAATGCTATATAGGAACAGGTTTTCTAACATTGAAATAGCATATTAAAAAATATTTATATGCATTTCATTTATTACACAAGTAATATAATAAATTTTCTAATTTCGTTATATTACAAGAATTTTAAATTAAAAAAAATATTTATAAATTTATATTCATATAAA